CAATTCCTATCAATTATTCCTTAATACTCCTTCCTTCTTCTTCTTGCTTACTCGCTATACGGTATAACTCTATCGTTTCTGCTGCAGTCAAGCTTTAACTGGGAAACTTGGCATAAACAACATAGCTGCCTGCAATCTCCGGTAATTGACGAATTTTATAAATAGTTCGTATGAGCAACAAATAGCGAATGTTGGTAATTTTACCAGAATTTCGAGCGAGTAGGTAAACTTCGATAAATTAGGTGTTACCATTGTGAAAATCTTATAAGATGTTTAATAAATAAATTTTTAAACTTTCAACCAAAAATAATAAATAAGTTTAATAAATAAATAAATAAATATTTTCATAATTGCAGTGCAAAAAATCCCTAGGAATTTCCATTTTGTTTTACATTAATTTACTCGAACTTGCACACGGCCATAATAATAAAAATTTATTGCACTGCCATTTATATCCTTTTTTTTATATATATTTAATAGTTTAATAATAATTTAGTTTTTTTGAGATGTTGCTTAAAACTTATAGATTGACATTTCCAGTTTATTAAAAATTTTCATAGAGCGAGAGAGAGGTGCAGTGACAACGAACTTATGCTTTCTATTTTCTCTTTTTTTTTCTTTATCATATATTATGTAAAAGAACAACTGATTTCTTTATGTCTCAAGATCAAAAATGATTTATTGTGAATCCATTAATGTGGAAGTGTAGATAAGGCTTATTTGACTGGTTGTAAGTCATGCATAGAACAATAGGTCCCTAACGAAACCAAATGAAGTCAAGCCTCTATGTAGATTTCACAGCAGGTTTCTTTTCAAATATATAACTAATATAATTCTTAAAACATAGCCACGGGTTTTTAAAGCTAGGTTTTAGTCCAGACTGTGTATCATAGTTACAGTGCATAAGCACTGTGCTGTTATGTGGTGGTGTAAATCATATTTCTTTTAAAAAATCGGTTTGACAGCTGTTTTCCCAATATACTAGTTGGTATTGTTATGATCTAAACAGAAGTGAGTTTGTGTTTAGGGCCATCATTATCGAATGGTTCTGTAAATAGCATACTTTATCCATTTTTCGTTAACTTTTTCTATAAATTTTTCACATATTAGCAGTTTGCATTTTTATTTGGTATATTTTTATATACCATTTTTTTTATTCGCATCGATTCACTTTGTATTTAAAATAATGTTTTTTTTTATGTAGAATATATGTACAAAACTGATAATTATAAATGTAAATGTATAAGTGTAAACACATTTACATATATTTGGAAAAAGAAGATCTCAACGCATCGTTTCTGTATATCTCTATGAAATAAATAATTCATTTATTGCCAAAGGAGTAAAATATTTATCATTAATTAATTACAACGGGATAAATTAAATCTAATCTATTACATAAATAGAATAGAATAGAAATAGAAAGAAATGGCATTACTGTGCCTTTTATGTCGGTTCAAGGAAATAAAATATTTATCATTAATTAATTACAACAACGTGATAATCTATTACATAAATAGAGTAGAATAGAAATAGAAAGAAAGAAATATATATTACTATTTCATATATGAGTTGCGTGTAAGTTGGCAATACTGTGCCTTTTATTTTGGTTCAAAGTTTTAACACAATCGGCTTTTGTGGGCATAAAAATCATTCGCTATATTGTCTATGGTTCTTTATTTTAGACTAGCTGCTACGATTTACTACGATTTTTTTTTATCTCGTGCGTCTATAATGAACAAATCAAAAATCAAAAAGACAAATAAAATTTGGGCAGAAAATTTGAGAATTTTGGATTCCGAATGTAAAGATTCTTTGACAGTATGCAGAAGCTATTTTTCGAAATATAGTCTCAGAATGCGTCATACTCGGAACAATGCTGTTCCTACGATAATTCTTGGTAGTAATACTTGTAAAAAAAACAATGGAAAAGTAAGTAAATATTGCGTCATAGTAAGGAAAGGAAAGTTTTTAATGGCAGTAGGAAAGGCTAAGAAGAAAAGTACTAACAAAGAGATTGCAATAAGAAGCAGTTCTTGAAGGGCATCAACCCTGATTTTCTTCCTTTTATTAGTGATTGAAGTATTTTACAAGAAATACTTTAATTCTAATAATTTGCAATATTATAAATTAAAGATTATTGAAACTTATCGTTAAGTATTGTTAAAAATAAATGGGGGAAAAAATGGTACAATAAGGAGACCGGCAAGAGATTGTTTTTTTAAATTATACATACATTTACTGATTGCTAATAAATTTCATAACATTGTTTATAATTAAATACTAAATTTATATATAATATTATTTTTAATATTATATATAATTTAAATATTAAATTAATTGTAAGAAGTAAGAAACTTGCCTCAACACGCATGTATATTTCTTTTATTTTATTTAATAAATTATTTTGCAGTAAAATTAGTTCTAATTTATAAAGTAATTTACGTGAAATTTATTATTCTTAATTCTTTAAATTTATTCCTTGAAACTGTACGTGGCAGTGAATGGCCGCGAGTAGCCATTCACAATAGATCTCATTTTACACTAGATAAAAAGCATATACGATTTTTTTATCTCAATAGTGTATTTCAGTATATAGATTAATAAAAATTAATTAATAAAAATTAATTAATAAAAATTAATCAATAAAAAATTTAAAAACCCAAATACTTTTCTTATAATTAATTTTTAAGATCTAATTTTAGAATGTATTTACTGTCGTATTTTTATAAAATAACTTATATATAAAAACAAACTTAAGATTAGATAAAAATTTATCACAATTGTTAACTTATGTAATATATTTTATTAACATATATTTCGTTCTACTTGTAGACCATTGTTATGTTTTTACTTCCTTTCCTTTTGTTTTATTCTAGAGTTTTTTATAAAAAAAACCTTTACTTCCTTATATGTGGACGAGATTATGATAATTTTGCTATCTATGGTGTTCCGTTAGTTTTTATTGGCATGGTTGCTGATTTAAACTTTTAATCGAATTGTCCATTTTTTTTTTTATGATTATCATAACACTGAAATTAGTCCTAAATATAGACCGAAATATCTGTTAATAAAATATATTACAAATATTTACAACTGTGTTATTATATAAAAATATAATTTTAAAAGCATGACCTAAAGCCCGATAAAAATTTAAACACAGATTTATTTTTAGTCAATATATTCTGATCAATATTCTGATATACCAAAACAAAACAAATTTTTTGATGTAGGTATTATTGTCTTAAATTTGTAAGTTTAATCTACAAAATAAACTGTTATATATATTAGTTCCCGCATATGCTATAAGGTGCAAAGGGCTGCACATACAAAATAAACTGTTGGCTTGCTGTATCGCTCTTCGGAGCTATGAAATCACACGTTTAATGTATGTTTTTACTCTTCCATGAGAATTACTTAGATTGAGATTTTACGATTTCTGTTTATGTGAAATTAGTTTTTTTATTACGTTTAAAATGTTGTCGCCTATGTATTACTAAGTATAAACAAATGATCGCAATTCGAGCTTCTATTTGTTTATAATGCGCTTTATAAATTAATTTTGTTTATAGCTAAATCCTTAAAAGTAATTGTTAAATCACACTTATAACATTTAAATTTACAATTGCATAATTTATTCTAATATTTTATAATAAATAATAAAGAGGTTTTTTCGAACAGTAGTGAACTACAACAACAAAAATTTTATTTTTTATATTATTTAATTAATTGAATTTTTGGCTGACCATACAGCTGTTTCGAGTATTGTCAAATAATAAATAATATAAATATTTTTCAGATTAAATTGCCAATAAAAAAATCGGCAGCAAATAAGGGTCCAACTGTGCCAGTTATTTCCACAGTGTCGTCGCTTGCCAGCGGTGAAACAGAGACGATGATCGGTAGCGTTACTGTACGTCGTTCTCGTGGTCAACGTTCACGAAAGGTAGATTCGCCTCCTCCGGCACCACCAGTTACAACTCAACAACAGCATTCAACAACAACGACCAACAACATAGTAGTACGTAGTGGACGTGTACGTAAACCTGTTGATTATGCAAGATCACCTTCTCCACCAAAGTTACCACCACCACCTCCGCAGCCAGATCCACCTGTTAGCAGCAGCAAACGTGGTACACAAACAGCAGTGATACAACCGGAAAAAATCATAACACAAACTGAAACAAAAATTGTTACGGTACCGCCATTACCGCCAAAAGTGCGTAACGCTCAAACAAGTTGTCGACCACAAACATGTACTGTTGGCTTTCAAACTGAACCAACTGTAACAACAACAGCAACACAAACGGGTAAAGATTATTCTAAGAAGGTTTTAATACCAATACCAGTGCCGATTTATGTTCCACAACCGATGTATATGTACTCGGCACCATTTCCAGTGCCAGTACCTATACCTCTACCAATACCTGTGCCTATATTTATTCCAACAACTAGAAATTCAGCACAAGGTATACTTAAGGAGATCAAGAAAATACAAGATAAAATGCCAGCTGATCCATTCGAAGCAGAACTACTAATGATGGCTGAAATGGTTGCTGAAGAGAAACGTGAATCGGACTCCGACTCGGAAGATGAGATAAAACCGGATCCTGGTGTAGTGTCGCTGGAATACGATAACAATTTACAACAAGAGGAAGTTGGAAATAACTCGTATGGTGAAGATGTCTTACAAATGGCTATAAAAATGGCAAGTGGTGAATATGATCAGTCTAGTGTGGATCTTGAATCAGCAATGACAGCAAATACAATTACAAATCCGCCACCTGGTTTGGTGCCTAGTGATGATGGCATGTCACATATGAACGCTCATCAGTTACAACATCCACATCATATAATGGAAGCGCAACGGTAAATATTGAACTTAAAAAATATATTAATAACTTGAATTGCATATATTCAATTATAACCATTATTTAATTGTAGTGGTGGTCGTGGCAGAAAACGTGGGGCGATTGCTACTCCAGTGTCGCCGCGCAACCGCTCACCTGTTAAACGTCAGCGCTTACAAGAGATGGAGTCAACACCACAAGCTATTGTACAACCGATGCAGGTCATTGATAAACCGGATGCAAACATGTGTCTGAAATATACTTTCGGTGTTAATGCTTGGAAACAGTGGGTTATGACTAAAAATGCAGATATAGAAAAAAGTAGTATAAGAAGGCGCACTTTCAAAACAGATCTTTTACAAATGACAGCAGATGAATTGAATTACTCATTGTGTCTGTTTGTAAAAGAGGTGCGAAAACCGAATGGTACTGAGTATGCACCAGATACCATCTACTACTTGGTTTTAGGTAAATTTGTGAATAGATATATATTTATATTTAGATTGTTAATTATTCTATATTTAGTTTAAATAATAGTAGTGCTGCTTAATAATCTTGTTATATATATGACATCGATAACAAATAGCGTTTGAGTTTTAGTATTATATGAATATTATTAGTATTTATACTATATATAGTATAGTATTATTGATAGATAGTATAGTATAATAATAGTAGTAGTATAATTCATTGATAGAAATAGGTGAGTTTCGTGGGTAGGTGGGTTCAGTTTAGTAATTGGTAAGTTTAATGAGTGAGTCATTGTTCATAATCATAATATTACTAATATTAGGCAATATGTTTGTCTCTTGCTAAACCAATATTACTAGAAAAAAATAGTCAAACGACAATGTAACGTGACAGTTTTATTTATTTAAGCAGGTATCATACTTGATGCGTTGAATGCGAAATTTGTGTTAAGTCGCATGTGTAATAGCAATATTTGTAGGCATGACGAGTAGATGGATGGAAATCAAAATATTTTGATTTTTCGTCCGACTTCCCCATGCTTTTTCGTATTCAATCGGACTTTTGTCGGTTTACATGCAAAAATTACATTTAAATGCACGCATGATTTTTTTGTAGTATATGTATAATATCAGATGATGTATAATAGCAAGCAACTTCGGACCAAGTATAGTATGAGGTGTAATACCCGCTTTATGTAAAACATAGCTATAACAAAAATAATATATCTCAGGAACAAAAAAAAAACGGGCTGCAAAGAGCGAGTGTTGGTGTAATAAAATAATTGTATTAAAAAATTAATATTGACTTATAAAAATGAATATCGGTAAAACATTTAGGATCTCTGGAAAAATATGAATAACGGAAAAGAAATTTATAAAGGAAGAAATCGGAAAAAAAAGTATTCTAAAGTATTCTAAACATTAGACGAATTACAACATATCAATATATGGGTTGGGATATGAATTAGATAGGAAAAAGTCAGAAAAAAAGAAATTGGATGAAATGAGACATAGATGAAACGTGGGTTGAATTTAACTGAAATTAGTCTGGATCGAGGTGGAGAAACCTCGAATAGTATATCGATTCGAAGTAGGCTGAACCAGACGATGTGTTTAATTGTAGAAAAGGAATCAAAATATGTAAAGTGGTGTTATGGGAACACCACAAAAGATAGATGATTTTTAGATGTGAGAATACTGCGATTTATTTCGGCAAAACGATAAAAGTGATATTGAAAGGTCTGCCAGTATTGCTTTTTTGTGTTATTGATGTAAACAATTATCGTGTATAGTGAAAACTTTCGGAAGTTGGAAAGATAAAGCAAGTGCAGATTGCAAGAGATTTCGCTGCTTGGTCAGCCGCTTTACTCCTACATATGCCTTTATATCCAGTCATTGACAGATTCTTTTAGCTTCTTTTAGTTAACAGAAGGTAGAAAATTTGACCTAATGATAACCCTGCTATGATAATTGTGGTTAAGATTTGATTGTAGGGCAGATAGGCTGTTGGAGTATACTACGAATTTTCCTTTAATAGTTATAGCTTCTGTTTTTGAAATAGATGCACCCAAATAGTTAGCCAACCACTAGAGATAAAATAACTAGAATAGGCTATTGGCGAGAAAGTAGTGGTAATGTTATTTGTAATGTTACTTGTTGAATAGGCTATGGAACATTGCTAATATGTTATAGGTGTGTTCTCCAATAGATGTCCGTTTTCGTGTTTAGATCAATAATACATACATAACTAATATTTAATAATACTCACTAAATTATAACAACTGTGGCAAAGTCTAACAAGTTTGTGGGTTATTATTGACGAATAATGAAGGTTAATTTAGCCTTATTGCGATAACTTAAAATAGATTTATTGGATTTATTTTAATAGAAATTAATTATATAACAAAGTAAATAAATACTTTCTAATATAATTCTCATTATTTTATTTTCATTTCAGGTATACAACAGTATCTGTACGAAAATGGGCGTATCGACAACATATTTACAGATCCGTACTACGAACGCTTCACTGATTGCTTAGATGAAGTTGCAAGAAAATTTTCGGTTTTGTATAATGATTCACGTAAGTATGGGAATTTGTTAAAGATATTTAAAAGCAAAGGCATTAATTTAGCGCAAAATCTGTTAAGTTATCGGACGAGAATTTATATTTAAAATAATGTACAGATCATGGGCTGGGTTTGGAATTGGGAGAATAGCAAAAATAATTTCAGTAAAATTTCTATAATTCAACTTTTCGTGTTATGGAGGTTAAAGAAAAAAATGAAATCATAGGGTTTAGTTTATTATTATTAAATCTCAAATTTTGAATAAATATATATTGTCAAAAGTAAATATTTATACTCCATTATTGGTGAATAGTAATAACATCTTCTTATAATTGAAGAGATTTTGCAAGTATGTAATTGCGTTATTCTCGAAAATAAATTAATCACTGACATTAGACATTAATTTCAGTTTGTAGAGGTCGACTTTCAAACTTCGACTTGTAAAGATAAGGGTTACCTCTCAGGTGAAGAATGTGTATTATTCGGATTGTAGAGGTTAACGCCTTTAAGATGAACGGACCAAAATATTGCAAAGAGTTAGAGAAATTGCAAATGAGTTATAAAAATTTTATTATATATACTTCTTTCTATATATATATACATTTTTTTTTTTTAGACAATAATTGAAACTGATTACGTAGTCCTAAAAGAATACTTCTGGTCTTAACAGATATTATGCATCTATTATCATATAGCCTTTACTTTTATATATAGAATCCACAGCATTTTATTTTAATTTTATTACAAAAAATTCAATTTTCTTTAACAGAATACATTGTTACACGTGTTGAAGAAGAACATTTGTGGGAATGCAAGCAATTGGGGGCACATTCTCCACATGTTCTGCTCAGTACTTTGATGTTTTTCAATACAAAACACTTTAATTTGACTGTAAGTAATTTTCAATTAATTTGTAGAAACTATATAAAATACGACGAACTATTATTTTTAGACTGTTGAGGAGCACATGCAATTATCATTTTCGCATATCATGAAGCATTGGAAGCGTTCGGCGCAAGCTACCAAAGCACCAGGCACACGTAATGTCCTTCTACGTTTTTATCCGCCGCAAGCTGGACTTGGTAAGTAATAAACATTTCTATTTTTTTGGTGGCCAACTACTTTACTATTAATTTTGTTAACATATTAATACAGTACTGTTACTTCTTATACGTGGTATCTAATTTAAATCAGATCTAATTTAAGTCAGTTCTGAAGACTTTTAGTTATGTAAGGTAGTATACGAAACAATAGTTGATCTAAGAGTTGTAATAATCAAGTTTAATGGTCAACATCGGCACAATCAAATATTACTTCTACTTCTATTAAATACTATTCAGTGCATTGTCTCTTTTTTTTTTTTTTGTACTACCTTTTGCTATTTTTCGACTCGAATCATTATTTTTTTGTTATAAAAAAAAAAAATTTAATAAGTGCCAATAAATATGGTACAGCTCTTTTTCAAGTTAACGCCAGCAAGAAAAGACAGTGAATGCATCAAAATTGCTTAACCAAGGACCCTTTTTTCGATTTCCATCTTTAGTCGCATAAATTGTTATCAATATAGATTACAATCCATCGTTCGGTCAGGCAGAAGTGAATCATATTGCATGATACCTTTCGAGTCACATCAAATATATAGCATTTTTCTTCTCATTATCGTCAATCATTATCATCATCATATGCTAATCTATAAGTTATCCATCATTTTATAAGCCTTTTAATGATTAGACTCGAGACTGTTTTTTCACATAAGTACCTCCAATCTGATTTAAGATCAGTCTCCAACTATAAGAAGTCACATTTTATATGCCATCAATACTACTTTACTACTACTGATGTCATAGTACCGAATGTCAATCTAGTGCCTATGTTGCAAGTGTATCATGTATTAATATATCATAAGTATAAAAATAGCACATCAACTAACCTTAGGTTCGTCTGCACAAAAATGCAATACAAGTAATCGATGATTCACGCGTGTTCTATTAAAATTTTAGACTTTCTTGGTTTTGATCCGAATTCAGTTTAGTGTCTTCCATTGCCACTTCTGTGTGACACTATTTTCGCATATATTACTAATTTCAGTTAACTCTCAACACCCACATAATTTCAAAATTAATCGCACGTAATGATGATTAAACTTACACATTTAGATAGTATATGGAAAGAGTGTTAAGGTAAAGGGGAAGATGAAGATGGTCACCTTAATCTTATGGTTAATGCCATAAATCAATAAATTTGTATATGCACTTGAACATGAAAGTAAAGCTGCGGTGGGCTATATATTTGGGGCGTAGATATTTATGCGTCACAAGGAACTGTTTACCATATGACTATGTTCATACAGGGCTTGCAGGGTGTGAGGGACATTTTACATCCTTCAAAAATTTTAGACTGGGACCTGGAATATATTGTTTGGAGGATTGATACTTGGAGGTTCTTGCTGATACTTGACTTAATATGATACGAAGAAAAGACTTAACGTAAGTTATATGAAACCAGGACTTACGAACTGTAGCGCAATGGATGTTTATCTGTGTGATACAAGATATTTTTTTGACAGAAAATAGAATGGTAAGAATGGTAATCCTGTAACATGCGATGACAGCTGGTTTAAAATCAATGATGATTATTAGTTAATTCTCTATACATTCATGCTACCTATATCATTTAACAATGATCTTCACCAATGGTGCTCCTGGTAAATGTAATAAAACTTAAACTTGACAATTTGTGCGATTACACCCAAAAATAATATTTAACGTAATTAAGTATTCAATTCAATTCAAGAACTTTCATCTATATATCACCTGGCGGGTTTTCAATGTACTGACTTTGAAAAGTTATAAATTAATAAATTTTTCAATGATGGTAATCCCAGATATTAACTCTAAATAAAAATTTTGGACTATGTGTTCCTCCTTATCTAGTATATCATACAGTTTGATTCAGCGGTTTTGCTAGTAATTTGATTTAAACATTTATTTGATATGGTATTTGGTATGGATCATCCACATGTTAAAAACCCATTTCTGTAGAGATTACGTAGTATTAATATCATGCAGATCGATTCAACGGTTTAGGATTGATACAAACAAAAAACAAGATTATTAAATGTATATATAAATTAACAAAATGTTATAATTTTCTAATCTTTTGTATATTATTTTATATTACAGAAGCTAATCCTCGTAAAAAGAAAGTGTATGAACAGCAAGAGAACGAAGAAAATCCTCTACGTTGCCCTGTTCGTTTATACGAATTTTATCTTTCAAAATGGTAAGGATTTTCTTAATGTAATAATTGAAATTTCTACAAGTAATACGAAATAATTATTTTTACAGTCCTGAAAGCGTTAAAACTCGTAATGATGTCTTTTATTTGCAACCAGAACGTTCCTGTGTGCCGGACTCACCTGTCTGGTATTCAACGCAAGCCCTTAGTAAAGAATCATTACAGAAAATGTTACATCGCGTTAAAATGGTCAAGGAGATAAACATTGCGCTCTTGACAAGCTAATCTAGCAATTGTTTTAACATCTCTCACATTCACACACAATCAAATTTAATGCAAAAATCTACATATAACAGAAACAATCCATAATGATAAATGCTTTCATTGTGTCAGTCGCTACAAGCGTTAGCAGTAAAGCAAATAATTCTTTTGACTTTAAAACGTAATATTTAAATGCAATAAGCAAATATAAAATTCGCTAATACGAATTAATATATTAATAGTTTGACAGTGACATGTGTATTTATTTTAGAAGTCACAGACTAAGGCTTAGCTACATTTTTATTGTGTAAATTTTAAACTATAACCTGAACTTAATTAAATATTATGTATTGTTTTTCGAACTAATTTTCAACAAATTATTGCCACACAAATTTCATTGCAGTATATCAAATTAAAATTTAAAATATAATATAAAAAAATTATGATGAATTAACTGTATAGTCTAAGATTAGATTAAAGCATGATTTATAA